TGAGAAAAAGGTTAGGGTAAAAAGGCGCGAAACGTTGACTTCCCGATCGGTTCCCTATATATTCCAAAATATAAACTTCACGTGTTGTTTGGATTAACGTGATGTTTTCTCGGCTTTACACAAACACTCCTGTTCTTCTTGTACCATTGCTGCTGGGCAGCGTTCAATAGAAGCACGCTACGGAAGTTGTACTCAAACCTGTACTCATGAGTGCATTAACGCCGTATGCTCAATGTCCTACACTTGACCGGCTTGAAGTTAAGCAGGACTCAGTCGTCCACTTATACACAATGCCCAGATTGTACTGCATTACAACGTGATGGCATGTTGCGTTGATGGCCTGCCATACCTTGTGATCATCAGCTAAGTGATCCTTTGAGTACATCGACCGTGAACGGCACTCTACCGAGGCTTGGGTCATTCCGCACTGAAGTTCAGTGAAATCGGATTTGACGCTGCGACTCCTAACATGCAGGTATCACTGGAAGAAGGAGTTAGATATTTAGCCCAGGACAGGAGCATCTATTCGACTTCTACGCAGTTTGTACATGAGAATGCGTTGAATCAGACGGATGAACGCATATGTTCAGTTAAACTGCATCAATCATCCCACGGCAGCGATAGTTTTCCAGCAATCTGAATAAACAAGTGACGGGCTTGCGGTACTAAATCGGTTCTGGTTGAAACTGTGTTATATTTAAAAATAAATAATGTCCGAGGAGAATTCTACTTAAACAAATACACTGAACATTTTTAACCGCCTTCATGTTGAAACAAGGGCCTGCGAATCGTAACCATCGATAAAAAACGCAATTACCGACTACATGACAGTACAGTATGTACTATGAATTTGCCAATTAAATTACAAAGAAATACCGTTTAGGGTTGCGGCTGAGATGCAGGCTTGCTGATTGTTAGTAAGCGCACAATGCCCTGCGTGCATTTTCTTTACTTTTTCAGGCCCTCCGGGAGAAATGCGTGCAAAGAATGATAAAAAAGCTAGAAAACTGCTAATTCGTTATTTTGGAATAAACTTGGAACCAGCTGGAAATTCATAATTTGGATGGTTTTGCAACACAAATTGGTTTTGCAAGGCCTTGTATTACGGCTACGTTTCCTTCTTAACGATTAGTTGCCAACCTCAGAATGGTCGACAAAATCTAGCACCTGGCACTAGCACCCCCAGATATGCTACTGGCATTCGTAGCGCTCTTCTCCCTATATGCCAATACGTAGGACCACTTCGTTGAATTATTTGGGCTTTAATTTCGTCTAGTCTTGATGCCTTTGGACTTGATCAGGATAACTGAGACACGGATGCAAGATGAAGTCACTGATGTCGAGATCACTCTACCAGACTTGTGCGTCCTACGTAAAGATCGACTTAGTAGGGGCAGAGGTATATTTTTATATTTTCGCAGTGACCTATGTATCCAAATCGCTGATCACCCACAGATTCAAGTTATAAACTCACTTAGGTGTCACCTGTAAATAAGACATGGAGACACGTTTGGTTGCCCACGTATACCATCCTCTGGTGTCCACTCTACAAATGGACAGCCATCTATCTTTTGCCCTGAAAGCCGTTTTGACTCAGCCTAACAGTCATGTCCCCTTGTGCAAGACTTCAAGTTGCACGATGTAGAGGTTCTGGCATCCGTTAGTGAACAGTTTAATGCCAAAACAGCCAATCGCTTCGATTTCATGTCACCTTCCTTACGAGAATCAGTACGGGGAAAAACTGCCCATTCTGGACCTGGAGTTTGCTATTGAGGAACTCATGATCAGTACACTAACAGCAAGTAAACTCTTGCAGCACAGTGACCATGCAATACCGCATGTGCCACTCATGTAACGCAAACATTTTGTTAGCCCGCGCCAGCTGGACGGTGTCCGGTAATGCTGAGAGAGGAGTCAAAGCCCCCAACATCGATTTATCGAAGGCATTCGATGATGGCCCAGACCATCGTATTCTTCTTTTTTACAAGCTTCGGCACTATGGGATCGGTGACCCACCTTATAGTACTTGTTTTGTTAGTTTTGTATTCCGTTATGTTGGTTACCTCGTTCTTCATACATCTTATTTACTGTATTGTGGAGATTTTAGCTGAAGTGCGTTGCTTACCTTCAGCTAATGTGTAGTGATGATGGTTATTATAACTATCATATCCCAAACTGGATGCATTCCTAAACTTTTTCCAACTCCGCTCGAATGTGCGGGTTCGTAGCGCCTTATCTGCCCCTAAAGAGATACATTGTGACACTCCTCTAGGCTCGGTACTAGGTCCACAGCTATTGCTGGTGCTTGTAAGCGACCTTTTGGGAGCGCCGGCCTCAAACTCTCTTCTCTTTGCGAAACAGCTCAAGAGTTGTTGGCTATTAATACAGTAGACTAGCACACAGCATTGTAAGACTACCCTAACAGAGGTCACGGGGGCCCAACTCAGAAAGTGCTCGAGTTAAACGTTGTCAACTGTAAAATAATGTTCATAAGCCACCAGCGGAACTGCACATATCGGTAAGGAGAACACGTGTTGCAGCGCACTTCCCATGAAATTGGTCTTAGGGTGCTCATGCATGACGACCTTCGATGCTCAACACATATTGAGAAAGCCGTGAAAAAGACCAAGAAACACTTAAGTCTACTACATATGACGTTTGGCCGGTTTGATCCTACCATTACTTAACAAAAGCTCAACGCTTACGTGAAGCCACATGTAGAGTGCGCCATCCAAGTGTGGCACATCTTGTAAAAAAGACCCTGCTGCTCCTGAGAAGCCACTACAAAGGGCGGCTAAAGTTGTCAAGCACTTGGTCCACCCCCCTAGCACTTTAGATTAAGAACCTTAGAAGTTTTCAGTGGACAATATCTTCGTCTGCGGAGTGATCTTATGTTGGTGTACCAGATCCTCAAGGACCTTAACCAAATATGTACATGGTTAGCGGCATCCGATTTCGCATTTGCCTGTCACTGTGGTCAGCCACAGGACGCCTGCGCCTACAGAGGGACCATGGATTGCTTGCGCTGCACCACCCACAGCTCCATCCACACACCCCATATCCAGTGTAAACCCGAAGGAATAAGACCGGGAGGCATGCGGATGGGAGCCACGTTTCATCAACGGAGCCGGCCCACACTCCTTCACAGGCAAACACAAGCACGCTGTATTTGGGGAATCAAGCGCACACAAGGCGGTGGCTGGACCGTAGTCCGCTCCACACTGAGTGCATGGAACCACTCTTCGAGCCTAGCACGACCACAAGTACTGTGTACCCCGTCCCCTCCAGTAACGACCAACTGTCTCCTGGAGCCAGTATGGTTAATAGACAGGTAGGTTCCATGTCAACATGCACATCAAACGCTGCCACACATGGGATGTCAAACAACAGCCAATCATTCGAAATGCCGATATCGATTAAAGTAAATGCATATGACGACATAAATACTCGCTAAATGAGCATATAGAAGAAATTGGTTATAAGTGAATCCGTGATAAGTACAAAATGTCCGAGAGTTAGTTAAAAAATACCACGCGATAAAATTACGCAAGTTTACCACAATTTGCGTGAACGACGTGTGCAAGTAAGGAGAAGATTATCAAGTACGCAGAACAAACCAAATAACAGGTAATGAATTTTATCCACATTAAAAAGACCTAATTTAAGTGTAAGTTGGTTTAGCCCAACTGCGGTGAAGAAGCAGCATGAATGCAACATCAGCCTCAGCAAGGGGCACACCAACTATGTACACACTTATTGAAGCATACATAAAATTTCACTGAGAGGCCACCACTTGAAGTTGACCGGACCGTGTAGCAAGTTGGAATGCCACTGTAACTTTTTTCCCATTAGTGTATTGCAGGAGTGGAACGTTCTCCGGCATTTCGTCATCTCCACTTCAGCGTTCGTTGAATTCAAAACTACTTTACACTGCTTTAACGGCATTGCAGGATTTAATTCGTTACTGAGACACAGAACAAGGTGACCAAACGGTGTGTCCACGCTTAAATGGTAGTGAGTCCACCGTTATGCGCTGCATTTTCTTGATACCTTCTCTTTTTGGTTTCACTCTCACTAAGGAAAATGTGAAGTGTTTGTTTTCCCATCCGTGATAAATACATTTTCCCATTGTGTCCATTGTTCCTTATCTACTTAAGTTGCAGACCATTGGAGTTTCTAGCGCACAATGCCACTGTCTGTGGAGTGCTTTAGGTATTGGATCCCTAAGGGCACTAACCACGAACTCAGATGCTTATGGAAGCTCAGTCACAACATTTTACTGAGAAGTAATCAGTTATCGTAGACAACGCAATATACCGGTTGAAATACCGTCGAAACGTTTTCCCTATCTTACGTCCCATCTGTGGAACACCCGTTTGAGTTCCATTATTTCAATTCCTACATTAACAGTATTCAGAACTCTACTTGATGGCGCATCACTCCACCTGCATTACATAATTTAATCCGACTTATTGTGACATGAGAATAGCAATCCAAACTGTGTACACACGTGAAGCTTACGATGATTCCACCGATAAGAGTTATATTTCCGGCACATTTACTTTTTGGTTCCACCTAATGGACTTGATAATCAGCTGCTTTTTTGCATGTGACAATTCCATTGTTCCAGTGCTTTATCTGCACACAAAGCGCTGAACCGGTAAGTAACCTACATGCAGACAAAGCTTCGGGATAGCTGCCGTTTTAGGTTTACGGTCTGATGCCACAGTTATTTAATGACAATAGCGCAGGAGCTCTAGCTGACTGAAGACTGAGTTACTAACCAAAGCTATGGTTAAGCCGTGTGTATGGGAGATTGGGTACTTATCAGAGAACTGTAACTCTTGAGTATTATGTAGTCACCACAAGGACGCCATCCACCGGACTTCTTGGTAATATGGGGATGCCCGTGGATTAACGGACGAACAGGGTGTCACGTGCCTCCTAACGATCGCCAATTTTGCACAAACGGCCGTACGCATGTATACCCACACACTTACCTTCATTGCTCTTAACTCGTAGCACGTCAGAGCTTGAGCGCACTGTTCTCGTCCGCATGCTGCCTCCTTCCTTCTGGCTAAGGGCCGATCGGTCGGTCGGGCTCATATGCCACCTGCTAAACTTGAAAGAAACCAGACTAAATAAATAAATAAATTGTATATGGCTCGACGATGCGAGAAGCCGTTCCCAGAAGGGACGGATCAAATAACGGTACAGTATTTTCAGATCATGGTATAATAAATTTAAAAAATGTGAGCACAAAATGAACATTTGTGTAGCGCGAAGCGGTCCAAAATATTTACATTCCTCTTGTTCTATCGTCTGACAAGTTTTTAGCAGTCACATGAGAGTTGATCGCACACGAGAAAAAAAGAGAATAAAGTGTTGCGGGCCAATAAAATATAACCACTTGTGCACTTGACCACATGCATTTTCAGGCACCATTAACTCCGTTCTCAAAAGCGTTATCTAAGGACTGTGCTGTTCGAAACATTATTATCACATTTTGAACGGTTAAATGATCTTTTATCGAAAGCTTAAACAAACGCAATGTGCAACAACTTCTGATAGCTCTTGGAAGTCTGTTCCAAAGCTTTGAGCAGTGTATTAAGAAGAAACGCTCCCTAATTCGCGTATTGAACTTTGGAATCATGACCGTTGTCTCCTTATTTCGTAGCTCGTACCTAGTGTTAACGGCCATATGGACACAGTTAGCATAATTGTGCATGTGATGGTGAATTATTCTGTACAGAAAACACAAGTTCAATTGCTTTCAAAATCAGTATCTGGCCTCTGCTTGAATATTGCTGTGTTGCGTTCAGTAACTAGCTAAAGGGTGACTTGAGAGCCATTAAAAACGTCCAACGCGCCTTTACGAATCGCATATTTGGCTGTTTAACCGCTCTTTCATACCGAGATAGGTGCAAGCAGTTGAAACTTGAACCTCTGTGGTTACGAAGAATGCAATTAAATCTGTGCTTCCTCCCAAACTAGCGTGGCGGAAAGCATATGCTAAAACCTATCAATTGCACTTTCGGGAAAACACCATTTATGAACTGCGAGATAGTGCATGCATATTCTATTTACCTAACTTCAAGATCACCCTAAGGAGAGATTTTTATCTTCTTAGGTATGGCTCCATTTGGAATAAGCTGCCAAAAGAGATTAGATGTAGTGAACATTTCTGCATGTTCAAGAAAATGATAAAGGCTTATCTGTCAACGGACAGAGCGAAATGGATCTTAAACATTCAACTTGATGATGAAAAGCTGTATGAAGTAGGGCCGGATCATGTATGAAACCGGGGAACATCAACTCTACTGCACCAGAGAAAACATGATCAGCTAGGATGAGCTGCTACAAACCGCTTCTTATGCTATTCCTTAACACCTACCTCCCATGCGGTTTTACTCCTTTCAGACTTAATTCATACCAACTGTCTTCTGTTTAAAACCGAGAGCAAAATTATTTACTGGTGGGGCGTCAGGAACTATTTTCGTAATTTTCCCCACAAATTGATTAATTCGTAATATTGTTCTGCGATCCCCTTCGCTACATTTGTTCTCCAATGCTAATCATTTCCCCTTCTTTTCTGAAGTTAACAGTCCAGAAACATATACTTGGATTCAGTGGTGGCAATAACTGATTCCCTATGCGACTTTTGCCTACGGACAACTAGTACAGTTATCAAGCTCCCGCTGTCACGCCATACAATTTATCGTATGATCGGCTCGATCCATTTCTACGCCGATGTATAAAAAATACCTGCCTATTTTTTACATTAACGATATAGTTTTCACATAATTTTTCTTTTCTGCATCCTTCCTTATTTCACAGTTGGTCACGACTGGGCTGATCTCCTGTGGTGACGGGTTATAGCTTCCAGATTATAAAAGACTTTACCTATGCAAGGTAAATTACCACCAACTGACTGGCGTATAAAAAAGTGCCATAATACAATGATCCGCATGACGGACTGGCCTGAGCCTTCATGGTTCATAATACATGTACAAAATCAGCTCTAAAAAGAACAGAACATATGATAAACAGGTGATGGCTCATATGCTACTATGCCACACCGGCACACGGCCAGTTATTGCATCGAAGTGCGGGAGAAACCTTTCGAGGGAATACCTTGCATGGAAGCAGGTCCCGTGGGGATGGTTCCACGAGTGGCCGTATTACTTTAACTGGACATCTGTTTAAATCTGCATACGTTATTGTTCCTGGCTTTTAGTTTCTTTAATGCCTTAATCCTGCCAATTACTTTAGTACCTGTTTTGGATCCATTGTAAAATGCGTGAACAAATTGATTATTTTTTGCGATCCTGTTGTACACATTGATCAGACTACATAGTTGGACTGCACCTCGAATCACCGAGGAATATGCCACTTATTTATTTATTTATTTATATACGTATTACTAGGAGTGAGACTTGACAAAGCGTTTGTTTTAACTCCGGGGTCAGTCTGTGAGTTCAGGCCGAAACATGTGAACCCTTTGGACCCTTTGGACGCATTACGCTTGTCACGTTAAGGTATACTGATTGCGAACCAGCCTAGGATGCTAGTTGAATAAGTATATGAACGGCTGTGGATCGAGACAGATTATATGTGGGAGCTCGCTAGAATTGGCTTGCAGCAGTGTTTCTCCAACAGCTGTATCGGGTACATTCCATACCACTACAAGGCCCAAAGTCTAGGTTCGCCTGCCTGATCTTGCAGACGGCTGGCTGAAAACGGATAGTCTTCGCGCAGATCAATGAATTGTTTACACAGTACCGCGTGGGATGGGCTGTTTTGTCGAGCCCTGGGACTGTTTCTAGCTACTAACGAGAGTGAGAGCATGTACGAACAGGAACATCAATCCAAGTTCATTCCACATAGAATCCACTGTGTTACGTAGCATGAGGCGTAAATGTGAACATCTACCAGAACACTGAAAGCGTGCTAACAAACAAAGCGAATAAGAACGGATCAAATGTGGAGCAAGTCAGATACACATAAAAGAAGAAACTCACTGGCTTTGCCGTCAGATTGGAACTACGATCCCCAGACAGGAACAACGACCCTAAACCGCCAAAGAGCTAACAAATGAAATGGTAACGCAAACGTCCATGAATTCGCAGAAAAGACGGTCCACACTTATGAGCTTTTATGTAAGCATACCTGACTTATTGTCACTCCTCTGACAAGAGCTGTGTAACAGTCTGGAGATTTTCCCAATTTAATTAAGTTCCTTCTGTAGCTTTCTAACTAAAATTATCCTCTTATTGTTCATTTAGGTGATTTGTGCGAACTATTGGACTGCATGCTGATTTCGATTGCTTGAATCGTGCACTGCCTCCTGTTAGGTGCTTCGGCTAATCTTCCCCGTGCAACGGCAGTGTGTACTGCATCTTCCCATTCCCCTAACCACACCAATAAGTGCCGTTTCTAGCTAGAACACAGTGAGCATTTAAATGGACAAATAAAAGCCTCTTTATGTCAACATATCTTCTAGAACTACAGTCTGCGCTCTCTCCAAAAAGTTGTTTGCCGCTCTCCAGACACACTGCGGTTTCCATGAAACCCAACAAGGATTACTTAAACAGTACGAGGAACGTTGTTCTTAAACCTCAGTGGCTTAGTTAGCAGTGTGTCAAGCATCAGCCACCAGGTGCCTAGTTCCACAATGTGCCAACGTTAACGCTAGGTAATAAGGTCCGGACAATAAAGGAACTGGTCGCGACTTGCAAAACTGGGATCTAAGAACACCGAAAACTCCACTTCAGCATACAGTCCCATTGCTTGGAATAACTGAATAGCACTCCGAAGGAGAAGGTGTACAAATTTGAGGTTGCCGTAGCCCAACAGCACAGCGGGTACCCGAAACCTCGTTTATGGCGTCCGAAAAAGCTTTCGTAGTACTTTTGTGGATGTATTTTGCTAGTGATTTCTGATCTATATTAATTTTAACTAGTTTAACTGTTCAATTCAATTGTATCCTGTTAGTGCGATTCCAGGTTTGTGCACAGAATTGAAGAATTACCGTCAGAAACTCTCACACCACAGGAGGAACTACTCTCCATGGCGCTGAATTCCGAACAGTGAAACTTAAGGCAAGTGTGAAAAAGATAGAGTAGAGAATGATGGGACACTGAGAGCGCCATATCGGGTGTAAGGAACCTGAGGTTGTGGCGGATGAGCTTGCACCAGGGACGTTGGATGTGTTCATTAACTGTTGCCCCTGGTAATATCATCACAATGAGGCAGAAATTTCTCGGGGTGCGCTGAGTTGTGTGCCTCAGCGACCAACTGAGGTATGCTAAGTGGTGTCTTTTGCACCTTCAGAGCCACTCATCCCACATTGGTCAATGATTAGAGGTCAGACAAACTGAGTCTCCTGGTCCTCCCGGTTGGGATTGAAGTGAGGGTGGCTCCCCATTATTTATAACAGATTTCCTGTAGCCCATTGCCAAACCAGCTGCCCCGCAGTCAGGTTTTTGAACCAAAGGCTTTGGCTGAGAACCCTAATCGTTCTCCTGTCTAGACCTGAACAACCTGAGAGTATCCTGTCCATGCAATACAATGAATTCACCTTCAAAGCATGTCTTGATGTGCTGGCCGTTGCAGAGCGGGGCGGATAAGGGGTCGGATGCTACTGCTCAGGCCTTCCCGTTCTTGCGCTTTTCCATCCTTATTCTCTAGTTCCAACTACTTTTGTACGCCCCTATTTTCAATCCCCCAATTCTTGGTTCGCACCCATGTTGCTTTAATACGGTGTAACCTTACTTTCAACTCACACTCAAACTCAGTGTCACTCCCGTCCTATCGACAAGCCCATGTACAATCAAGCGGGCAAGCCCAGTTCATCAGCTTTTATTTGGAGTCTGAGTGAATCACGGGGCATGCTGCGCTTCTTCAGGCCAAGTATTCCCATTTCAGTGTTCACAATCAAAATCAGAAATCGAATCGTGGGTGAAAAATTCTTTTCGGGTGAAATCTCATCAGACCCAGACGTTTGGAGCCCTCGATCATATCGATCGATCAGATTGGCATGCCTCAACGTACACATATTGTTACAGGGCGGTCAATAGGCAGCACTTGCCCAACATTAGAGACAC